ATTTTTGTTTGTTTGGTAGTGGGAGTTGAACCCAAAGGCACTTTACCACTGACCTATATCCCCAGCCCTTTTTAAATTTTATTTATTTTGACACAGGGTCTCACTAAATTGCTTAGGGTTTTGCTAAGTTTGCTGAGGCTGGCCTTGAACTTGCAAYCTGCTGCCTCAGTCTCCTGAGTTGCCAGGATTACAGGCCTACATCACAGTGCCTGGTGTCCTCTKATTTTCTGCAAGACTTCAAGTCTGTGTTCCTTCTCCCTAAAATCCTTTAAATTTTTTTCTTTCTCTGTCACTCTTTTAATTTATCCAAATGGGAACCTAACATTTTTAAAAGTATTATTTTCTTTCCATACAGATTATGTTACCTACTATAAATTTTTAAAAAGAATAGTGTTTTCTTTTTTATCATCACAAACTGTTTTGCACTTATTTTATTTACAGTCAATTCACAGACATGTAAATAAGACTGAGTCTTTTAAGGACTCCTTAGTTTAGCAAGTTCCTGTTTGGTTGTTTAAACCAAAGACTAATGATCCTTCATAAAATAAACATTCCTCCATAGAATAAATATTGCCCATAGATGCAGAGACCATTTTTCTCTCCTGATTGCTTATGGTTTTTWTTCTCTAGGTCCAATTAAATTCAAAGATCAATTTTATGAATAATGCAGGATTGCAGGTGGTTAGCAAACCTCTTCTATCCCTCACTCCTAGAGTGAATGTACAAGCACTGGGAAAGAATTCTAACTTACTGCTTTTTTTTTTTTTAACCTTGACTTCACAGTCACTTCTAGGGTAAAAAAGACAGCCAAGCAATTTCATCCTTTGCTTCTTAGACTATTTTCTTGAATACATGTGATTGTGTGCTAACTGGGCTGGCGTTTAACAAATTGSTAAATTGGTCATGTTCATATCCAAGTACTCAGCCCAATTATTTGTTTATTGAACTTATATTTGTATTTCTTGAAATGCTGTCTGTTGACATCATTAAGGGTTCTTGGCATAGTTTGTTTTGAACCCAAAGATAATTGTTATTATCTTGAAAACAGGACATTCAAGTAGGTAAACCTTGAGTTTCAAAAGGTAATTGTCTAGAGAGTTTAATGGTTGCTTACTCTTCATATTTATTAATTAAAATTTCACTCATATGATATACAACTATGTAAAGAAATAGAATAATTTAGAGTTCTTTTRCCTGTAGACTTGGATATTTATACAACAGTTCACATATCCCTTATATCTGTTTACCAGGTGAGATTTCATGGGCAAATCTGTACATTGGAGTGAAATAATGAAAGGGCATTTTGGAARAAACTGTGGAAATATAAATTCATCTGGAATCAATGAAGAACTCAAACTCAATACCTTTTACTCATTACTTCTTTCAAATGCATATTAGAAGCATTTATACAAATTGGACTGCAGATTTTCCAGCACACATACAATGTTTTACACACTACAGAAAAGTGGGAAAATATTTCTCAATAGGCATTCTTATCATGACGACTGAGAGAAAGGAAAAAATGAAGCTTCCTCATCACTCTTTTATATTAAATTTATCTCAAAAAGCATTCCAATCTGTACTTCTACTTTCATCAACATTGATGCTATCCTAATCTCACCTACAATTATGGATTAACATTTGTAAATTTTCCAGTAGGCTCTTGTTTTATTAAATTTTCATTACTGTTTAGATGGCTAAAAAATTTTCAATCGCCAAATTTATTTCTTGTTATTTGTGCCACAAAATAATAAGGATGGTTGTTCCAAAGTAAGACTGTGCCTTCTCCCTGGTTGTCAAGGGTGTTTTTGAAAAAAGACTTGCAAACATGCTTAAAGAATTACTTGCTGAAGCCTTGTTTTTATTTTGTTCAAAGAAAAATGGATTCAAATAAATTATTCTGTTTTTGCTTTTATATGGCCTTGATTCTTTATTTTATAGAGTAATACATTACATAAGTCAGATTATAGAGTTAGATTTCTTACCCTTATTTTCCAATGTACAATAAAATGTAGATTATAGAGAACTATTGCCAGCTAGCTGGGCTGGCAACCTGAGCTGGGTTCACAAGAGCTGGCCACATCAATAACTAAGAAAAGGGCAAAAGAAGTATGCAACACAGAGAAATACCTTTTGCTTGCAGGAATCAGGGATGGCTCTCGGCCTTAAGGGTCTGTTGGAAAGAGAGTGAGCACACCTGAAACCATCCCATTTATTGAGGGGAGGACATGCGAGAATGTTCAACCCAAAGGAGGCAAGGGATTRGGTTTCAGGGAGGTGTAGCCCAGTCTCATTGGGTGATGCCCACTCCCAGAGCTTCATTCCCCTGCCTAGTGGAGGTGAGGTCCACCTGCTTTCACACTCAGCAGAAGCCAGTTCCACACCTTCATTGCTCAAGGCTAAGGGTGCTGAGCTCCTATGTGGCAGCTCCTGATGGAGAACTATTAAAATAAAAAGTCTTTACTCTTACATTATAGGTAGGACTACAAATTGGTGCAACCAATCTGGAAAGCAATATAGAGATTCCTTGGAAAATTGGGAATGGAACCACCATTTGACCCAGCTATCCCACTCCTTGGTCTAAATCCAAAGGACTTAAAAACAGCATACTATTGTGATGCAGCCATATCTATGTTTATAGCAGCTCAATTCATAGTAGCTACACTGTGGAACCAACCTAGATGCCTTTCAATAGATGAATGGATAAAGAAACTGTGGTGTGTATATACACAGTAGAATATTACTCAGCATTAAAAGAGAATAAAATCATGGCATTTGCAGCTAAATGGATAGAGTTGGAGAATATCATTCTAAGTGAAGTTAGCCAATCCCCAAAAACCAAAGGCTGAATGTTTTCTCTGATAAGTGGATGCTGATCCATAATAACGGGAGGAATGGAGGAATTTTGGATAGGGAAAAGGAGGGGAAGGAAAAGGGAGGAGGCATGGAGGTAGAAAAGATGGTAGAATGAGACTGACATCATTACCTTGGATACATGTATGATGATACAGTGTATAACCAGAGAAATGAAAAATTGTGCTCCATTTGTGTACCATGAATCAAAATGCATTCTGCTGTCATGCAYAACTAATTAGAACAAATAAATTATTTTTCAAAAAGTCTTCTGGTTCTTTTTAGTTATTCATAACATTATGATTCACTGTGACATAATTATAAAAGCATATTAATTTGCTCTAATTCAGACCATAATATTTCCACTTTGCTTTCCCTTTTCCCTTCCCTTCCCTCTATTCTACTGATCTTCCTGCAATTTACTTATGAAGACCAATGAAATAGAATAGAAGACACAGAAAGAAACCCACACAAATGTAGTTAGCTGATACTAGACAAATGTGCCAAAAACATGATGAAGAAAAGATAGCCCTTTTAACAAATGGTGCTGGAAAAACTAGAAATCCATATGTAGTAGAATGAAACTTGACCCCTATCTCTCACCCTGCACAAAAGTCAATTCAAAGAAGATCAAAGAACTGGAAATTAGACCAGAAACTCTTCAACTGTTAGAAGTAAATATAGGCCCAACACTCCAACATGTYGGCCTAGGAACTGACTTCCCTAACAAGACTCCTAAAACATAAAACATAAAACCAAAAATCAATGAGTGGGATGACATCAAATTAAACTTCTGCACAGCAAAGTGAAGAGATAACTTATAGAATGGGAGATCTTTGCCACCTGTTCCTGGGGGYATTAATATTCAAAATATAAAAAACTTCACACCAAAATAAAAATCTTAYTCCTTCATGCCTGATCACTTTATACAGAAGAAAAGAAATGATGCAAAACAATTTCTTTTAAAAAATATTTAAACCATACTGCTGCATTTATACTGTCCTTCTCATATGTTCATGGAAGGCTTGTTGAAMAGAAAATTAAGACTGTTTCACAACTCCTTTCAGGCCTTCTCTCTATCACACTTAAATACTTTTCTATTGCAAAAGCCAATCAGTGCTGGCACAAATATTTCCTTCTGTATTTAATAAAATAAAAAAAAAATCTGATTAGAAAAGGAATTCATGTTCATTTTAAACATACTGTGTATACTTGGAAACACAGGGAGACTCACCCTAAGACAATTAAAATCTTTTGTCATCTTACCTCTCAGAAATAACCTGTGAGCATTTCCCTCAATTAGTTATTTATAATATATTCATATTTTTCCAGTTCCAGGAAGGATTTGTGGTAGCTTATATAAATGCATAATATAATAACAAGATAAACTACACCCTCAAAATAAAGTTGATATGAATTTAAAAAGATAAAAGAATAATAAGAGGCAAAGTTAAAGCAGAAATGAGGTTAGTGACCAGTGTGATGAACTCCCCTTCATMTGTGAGCTTGGCTTTACACTATGAGTAGCATATTCTGGCATATATCTAAGGAGGGGCTTCTAAGCTGAATGCAATTTGTGTTAGAGCCAAAGGAAGTTCAAAAGCCATTGCAGGGTCACAAGAGAGCAGGTCGGTATTGGTGTTCACCCATCCACCCATCCACCCCAGCTCCATCTGCTCYCCCCTCCTTCTCCATCTTGTGTCCCTCCTTCCCAAGGCTGTGGTGYTCTTGCTGATGCATCTCTGACTTTKCGGGCACACACTGTCTACAATGAACTATGGCTACATGTCTGTTTTCCCCTTCCTAAACCCAGCTCTGAAATACTTTAATGCACAATCTTTCTAGAAAAGGTAAGAATACGTTCATATGATTCCCAAATCAAAAGCCTATGGAAAATTTGCACCAAGATAATGTGCTCATTAGTTTTAGGTTTGGCTATTTCTGTGTATCACTTCAGAATTTCTCACCACAAACCACAGGAAATACAACTACATATTCATATTTTTTTCAAACTCACTTTTTCAATTACTTGTAATTCCTCTCATTTCTGTATCTCTCACACACACACAAAAAAGACTCCCTTAGTGCATGGTTCTGCTCAAAGCAGCAAGGAATTGCTGAAGGGAGAAATACGAAAAGATCTAGAATCCAATTAACTTTTGCCGTCAYTGGTGTGTAACACCGGATGACTCACTGCTCTTTCAGTAAATGGGGATGAAAATCTCATAAATTAATCAAGGTTTCCAAGGGAAGTGATGAACCAAAACCCAGATGTTCACCTAATTAACAAATTAATCTTTAAAAACCAGCCTAAAGTTCTTTTCTTATTACTAAACATAAGCTGAGCCATTCTAGTTTTCAGTTTTATATTACTGCTTCTAACTTGGAATAAAAACATATTCTTAGTGCTTATTATTTTAAAATAATATATTTCATGGATAAACTTTTAAGCAAAAATTTAAATAGTTACAAACAAAATGCAGTKCTCCTTGGTTTTCTGACATTTGTACTTCCATGTGAATAAGACRTTTTCAGTTAAACTACACACATATGCTCATAGAACCAGGTCCATGTGATTCTTTATTTCTACCAGATATGTGCTTTCTAAAGTTTGGTTACAATGATAAAAATTGAGTAATAACACAGTAGGCATGTAAGTAGCTATTTTACTGTATTTTATTAAAGTTTTAACTTTTTAGAAAGTTCTGATTTTCTGATTCTACATTGCTATACAATCATTTGTATTTGTATGTCATTCTTATATATTCCTCTTTGTAAATTCAGGCACCGGTGACCAAAAGGAGGCAGATTAAAAGCTGCTGAACAAGGCTTTATTGAGATTGGCTCCCAGGCGAGAGCCTCCAGACCAACAGAGCAGGTCCAGGGAAATCGCACCCAGGCTCAGCTGGATTAGAATTTTTGTTGGGTTTAGGGCAGGAAAGGAGGGCTTGGGACAAGAAAGGGGGGTTTTTAGGGTCCCTTGTCCTCYTGGGRTTGGTCAGGGGATCTTGTTGAGATCCTTGCCCTTCCAGGATTAGTCAGGAGACCCTGCTGATTGACAGGTGATTATCACTGCTTGTATGTGGACGCCTGATTGGTAGTCCTCTTGCCCTCCCGCCGGTTGCCTGGTGCTTTGTTCCCTTAGCCACCCCAAACCAACTTAACACTGTCAAGTTCGTGTTCTAATATACATGTTTCATGAGGCAATAGGAAGAAAGGATATTTACTCTCCGCCTATGGACACAGATCTTGGATTTAGYCCTGTTATTCTCCTCCCTTCTCATCTAAAAAACTGTTTAATGCAATTACCATATTAACCTTGAAATTTATAAACACTTTCACATATAAGACCTTCTGCGAGCTTCATGAGGACTCTGTGGCCTAAAACAAGTGTGTCCCACAAATGAAGAAACCAAGACCCTGGAGTAAAACGACTTTGCTAAAGGCACCAAACCAATGGGTGGCAAAGCTGATCTTTGAACTGCACTTCTGGCTCCAAGGTACCATGCAACATATCCTGCACATGCAAACCCCAAGTAGAGAAGACACCAGTGTATCTTCTGTCAGCCTTACCTTGGGAGATTTATTAGTTTCAAATACCACTGGGCCTTCAGTAATCAGTTTTTTTTTACTTTTTTTTTTTTTTTTTTT